GTCTTCTGCTGCCCCCATGAGGATCAACATGTTCACAATCTGGAACCCGAAGACTCAAATGTTATTTACAAAAACAGAATTATTTTTTATTTTGATCATATCAGTGATTCATATGTTTCATGTGTTTACCTGCAGAAACGGAGAAGAGACTGGGAGTGGGTCACCCCTGGTCCATGGACCATCTTCATGTCCTGGTTTGTGTTTAAACTCAGATTTATTATATGTCAGTGTTGGACTGGAGCTAAATTATTATATATATATTTTTTTTTTATCCAGAAACTTTATTTGAATTAGTTGCAGTCAGTGGTGGACACAGTTAACACAGCTTAACTGAAAACCTTGATAAACAACTGATTCTCTCAAATTCGCTGTATGGTTTCAGGAAAAAGAGTTCTACCAGTTTGGGTGTTTTGGACCTTATTGAAAAAATTATTGATACATTTGAACGTGGTGATTATGGTGTTGGCATTTTTCTGGACCTCTCTAAGGCTTTCGATATTATTGAGTAAGCTGCACCATTATGGGTTTAAAAGTTATCCTTTTGGTAGACAACAGTGTTTAATTCTAAATCATCAAAAATCCCAAATTTGAAACATCAAACATGGGGTCCCCCAGGGTTCAATCTTGGGACCATTACTTTTCATTATATATATATTAATGACTTTGTAGATTCTTCCAAATATATTTCATAAGGTCATTTTTGCTGATGATACCAACTTGTTTTTTTTTTTTTTCCACATAAAAATTATTCCGAACTGGAGGAAATAGTAAATGCAGAACTGAAAAAAATAAATACCTGGTTCAAGAGTAACAAGTTATCTCTTAATATCAGCCAAACAAATTTTATTCTCTTTAAACCCAATAAATCTAAACTTTTAATTGATCATGTAATTCTCAAAACTGAAAATGTGAAATTAATGAGTGTAAGTTCCACAAAACTCCTGGGGGTCCACATTATGTTGGCTTGTTTTTTAAATTACGACATTATTTGCCTCTACCCACACTCTTAACAACGTATAAATCTCTCATTGAGCCACACCTTACATCCTGTAATGTTATTTGGTGCAATACTTACCCTAGTTGTCTTAAGAAACTTGAAAGTCTTCAAAAAAAAAGATAATAAGAACCGTGTCATGGTCCGAGTATAACGCCCCCACATCCCATCTATTTCATCGTTTTGATCTTCTTCGGCTAACAGAATTAAATGTGTATCAAGACGCCTGTTTGATGTTTCAAATTGTAAATAAAAGTAATAAAAGATTAACAGAGCTGTTCCAATCAGTGGTCCACAACATGCTTATGAAACCAGGGAAAAACTAAATAACTAGTCAAACTTTTTCTGGGAGGGGTCCTCAGATTTGGAACGAGCTTGACGAGAGTTTGAATATACTTGATCACTTGTAGGACCTGTAGCTTATTGATCAGAGGTAACATAATCTGTATTGTATGTGGAATTTGTATGAGGACGAATGTTTTATTGTGATGTTATTTTAATATGTTATACTTATAATTTGTATGTAATATGTACCCAGGCTCCGTCTATAAGCTTTAAATAGCTTTTTGGAGACCTATGATTATTTTTGTGTGTGTGTGAATAAACTGAAACAAACAGTTCAGCTAATAGCGGAACAAAGTTTCATTTAGCAGATTAGCATTTTTGCTAACTTTGGAAACCATTAGCTTCCGCTAAGTTAGGTTTCACCAACTTTAAGTCCGCTAACAAAATTCACAAGCACGTTTATGTTGTGGGCGTGTCTTTAAGTGTCCGTTTGGCACGCCATTGGCTGACTACGTGTACACGTGACAAGACGTGATTGGTCAACGCAGTAGCAGCTAGCTAGACAAAGACACGCGACCCAGATTGAGTCACACAGTTAGCAGTTAGCATTATATTACGCTATTTATGTTTTTACCGTTTTAGTGTTAGCAAAACTATTTTTTAAATTGGTGGTAAGTTTGTTGTGCCCACCACTGGTTCATGTTTACACCCACTGTTCCCACAAGCCCCCAAGATCAACACCTGCAAATAGCCCCACCAAGTAGAACAGCATGAAAGTTACTTAGAACACATCTGGGTTGCAGTATAAAAATGTTCCAGAACATCCCATAGAACTTCATTAAAGCCGTGATTGTTCCCCATCGCACACTGAACAGGGGAAAGTGGAAATACCCTCCGTCCATCCGTCCGTCCGTCCATGTTGTGAGCGCAACAATTTGAAAAATAAGAGAGGTTCCAACTTCCATTTTGGTGTGTGGCTGCAACTACGAGTAATAAGGTCACTATCAAAATTGGGTTGCCATGGGGGTGGGGTGAGTGTGTAAACTGGTTCTCAGGAGTCACAGTTTATTTCCACAAGTTCTGACAAACAACTCAAATTTCTCACACTTTGACTCACGGAAGCTAAATTGAGACGTGTTCCAGACAACGTCATAACTTTGAGACCATCTAGAGTCAAGAAATGTCTGACATTCCATCTTCATGAGAGCAAGACGCCGTGACTCGCCTCAAACAGCAAAACCTTGCACACGTTTTGAGACTTTTTGGAAAGGCCGATCAGATTTAGTCTCCAACAGCCGGAGCCCAGACTGAACCTAGCTTAAGAGCTAATAGTTAAATGTTAGCCCCACCTTTGCTGTAGCTCGGTCCAAATAAATCTACATTGGCTGCATGATTTTTTTTGTGGAATCAGGTCCTTTAAAAGATAAATTCAGATTTTTGCTCCCCATCATGGAACAAAGAGGGGACTTGGAAATAACCTCCCACCATCCGGTTCACTGTGCTCTAATTTCACAAAAATATGAAGTACTGGCTTCTTTTTTGGTTTGTGGCTAAATCTAGGCATAAGAACGTTTCCTTTCAATAAATGGGTTGCTACATCAAAATCCAAGATGGCCACCATTTATACGCGTCTTCTTTCGGCTGCTCCTTTCCTCAGGGGTCGGTCGCCACAGCAAACTAAGTTGCATGTACCCTGTATTCATTGGTTAACTGGACATCATTAACTTCACGCAGACTCTCTCACTGGTACATTTTCATCTTTAAATCACTTCTTGGTCTGTTGCCTTCATACATCTCCTCCGACATGTCTCTGCGTGAGTGCAGCTACGGAGTGCGCTCTCAGGACATTATTACCTGCAGTGTTCCCTCAGTGAGGACTGAACTAGGCAAAAGGGCCTTCTCCTACTCCGCTCCTGTTTCCTGGAATATCTTACAAAAAGAATTGAAGCTCTCGACCTTGACCTCTCTAAGTGGCTTTAAGAATCTGTTGGACTCCTGGCAGGGTCCAATGCTGACATGTTCCTGTTTTTAGTTTTATACATTTGTCTTGGAATCTAGCTGTTTTTTTGGTTTTGTTACCTTTTTCCTTTTAGCCATCCTATTTGTTAAAAAAAAAAAAAAAAAAAAAAACTGTAGTATGAGTTTTTATAATTGCTTATTGCTGTTGCTGTTGTCCATTGTTGTCATCTTTCTTTGTTGAAATCAGGTCTCTCTTGTAAATGAGTCCTCGAGGCTCAATGGGATTTACCTGTATAAATAAAGGTTGATTGATTGATTGATCCTGGTGCATGCTCAATAATCCAGGCAGAAAAATCTAAAAAAGTTAAATCTGGTCCTCTGGACATTCAAAAAACAAAACAACAACAAAAATGTAGAAACGTTTCGTCTTTCATCCGAGAGACTTCCTCAGTCTGAGGAGCTGTTTTCAGCTCAGTCTCTTAAATAGCACCTTCTCAGAGTGGATCAACCAGTTTTGCTGCTGACAACCAAAACCAACTGATCACATGCTCAAGAAGGACCATCAGCCTAACAATGGATCATTAGCACACTGATGGCTGTTTACTACTCACAGAGGGCTGAGTCATACTAGCAATCACAGCATTGTAAGAGGGGGACAGTTGAACCCGGAGGCTCCACCCGTTTAACGATGGACGATTTCTTTTCACAAAGATGGCCTCCTTTACTCCTCTCTCAAACCATCGTTCCTCTCTGTCCAGGATGTGAACATCTTCATCCCTGAAAGAGTGACCGCTGGCCTGGAGATGAGTGTAGACCTCAGAGTCCTGGCCTGATGATGTTGATCTTCTGTGCTGGTCCATCCTTTTGGCCAGTGGCTGTTTAGTTTCCCCGATGTAAGACTGATCACCTTCCTGACACTGAACAGCATACACAACATTACTCTGTTTGTGCCGGGGGACTGGATCTTTGGGATGAACCAGTCTTTAATGTATTTTGGGGTTTAAAAGCCACTGGGACGTTATGTTTAGAAAATAAACGTCTCAGTTTCTCTGATACCCCCTCAACATATGGAATGACCACTGGTCTGGGTCTGGGTTCCTCCTTTTCACCTGTTGGCTGACTGGAGTCCTGTTTGGGTTTCTTCTCTGCTTTCAGGAAGGCCCAGTTAGGATATCCACATTGCTCTAGAGCCTGTCTTGTGTGGGATTTCTCCTTCTGCCTGGCTCCTGAGTTAGTGGGGACGCTGTCTGCTCTGTGGTACAGAGTCCTGATGACTCCTAACTTGTGCTCCAAAGGGTGATGGATGCCCTTCATGACACAACCACAGTCCACCGAGCTACCACAGCCTTCTGTGTGGAGCAGTGGATGGACATGTGGATCCATTGGTCAGAACACCTCATCATGCTAACACCATCTTCACTGTGAAGCACGGTGGTGGCAGCATCACACTTTGAATTTTTCTCTTTTTTGTTGGGAAACTAGTCAAAGTTAACAAAACGATGGGACAAAGGAGAGAAATTCTTGAGGGAAACGGGAGTCTTCACAAGACGTGACTGGGACAGAAGTCCACCTTCCATCAGGACAACGTAAAGCAACGTGGTTTAAGGTAAACCAGTTAAAGGTCCTGAACTGGTCCAGTTAAAGCGAGTGACTAGAGTTAAAGGTGTTGGACACAAGTAGCACCATTTTGGTCAATTCCAGGTTTCAAGGCAACACAAAACAAGAGTAGTGAAGAATCTGATGAGCAGTGAACATGAAACCGTTTGATCAAAAGTGTTTATTTCACGGTGAAAACAGTCCAGTCACACACCCCCAAATTATTTTTTTACAAACCGCATCAAACCAACATCGAACACGTGAGACAGAAAAATAAAAATCATCAGAGCACAAAGTGATTGGCTTCTGCAGCAGAGATATGAAGGGTCCGAGTTCTTTCTGTTGTCTGTCCGGCGAATCAAAGCTTCTTCTTTTTTCAACATTTCTCGGGAGAGTTTCATTCTAAGGCGACGTTAAGACCGAGTCCTGTCCTCCCTGCTGGGACTGATCCGAGCCATGTCCAGGCCTTCTGGGCTCCACATCGATTATTCAAGCTGCTTCTGAAAGGCATCGGTGGTGGAAGTCAAGTCGTCCATGGAGCTCCTCAGCACTCCTCTTTGATGTAGATCTGTTCGTCTGTGTCCGACTCCAGGTGTTCCAGCCGCTCCGTCTGCCCGTTCATGATCTCGTCGGGGGTTTTCATGAACCTACGAGGAAACGCACGTTTAACTCGGTCTGGTCTGAAGCTCAAACCCAGAGCAGGTAAAAACAAACAAACGGTGGATCATAAACCTGAACAGAAGTCTTTGCCCCGGCTCTTTCCTGATGATGTTCAGTTTGTAGTAGTGCCTCAGTGCTCGCGACATCTTCTCGTACGTCATGTTGGTTCTGTTCTGTGAGGGACGGAGAGCAAAACCTTTGTTGATTTTTAAGTCATACAAATTTTAGAAAAAGAGAAGTTTCCCTCAATGTGACATACAAACGATGCATTAGTGTTAAAAAAAAACAAGAACTCTACAAACAGCACAAACACCATGAACAGTGTTGACTGGCGTTCAACAGGGCAATGTGTTTGGCCTCCAAATTATTAATTTGGTAGTTAAACATGAGGTTGACTGATATGTGTTATCTTAAAGTGGAGCTACACATCACAATGCGTAGCTTCTGCACAAAGCTCCGCCCCTTTTAGGGTAAAAATGACCTCTCTCCACTTTGGTTGCAGATAAATGCAACTCCGGAAGTGTTTGCTAAGAAAACAGCTGTAAGACTACAGCTCGCTTTGAAGCTTTTAATCACCCAGATGTTGTATCATCCTGATCAACAGAGGTATAGAACTCTTGCTTTCTTGAATTTAGATTTAATTAATCCATTCCTAAGCAACTTAATAAAGCAATCAATCAACATTTGCGTGAATACGCTTAAAGTATATGCAAGCTACATGCTGGGCTAACAGCTAAAAGACCACCGCTACCTGCCACTAGCCGATGCTCACTTGAAAACAAGGAGGACAAACCTTGAGGTAAAATAACCGGCTGTGGGAGAACCAGAAGTTTTGTGCCCATATTCATCCAGAAACCTGGCTCTGATGGCACACACGGCACCGAATGTGTGTTTTACCTTGTGGTTGCCCCAGAGCCTGGCCAGGCCGTTGGGGTCCATGATGCGGAAGACTTTACTCTCCGGATCCTCCCAGCGGATGTAGTTCTCGTACCTGCTGTCTGACAGGAGCTGGTAGACGTAGTCCCACAGCAGCCTGCAGTCTGCGAGGAGCCAGCAGGGACAAAAAGAAAACGCTGAGTGGGCCGAGTTGAATAAAACTCAAAGCCCTTCCTGAAGACGTGCGTACCTGCTATGCGTCCGATGGGCATCTCATCTGGAGGAGAAACGGGCATGATGACGTGGTTCCTGTACAGCTCCTCCTGCTGCTGCTGAGCCAGCTGGTGGTGGTGGAGGTGGACCTTCCCCTCACGCCCGTTCTCCATCGTCACCTGAGACGGGGGTCCGCTGCGGCTGTGCCTGAAGTCCATGCCGGCACCCCCGCCGCTCCAATTCGGGCTGAGGATCAAAGGGTTCATGATGGTGCTGGGCATGAGCTGGATGACGCGAGGAGGGCCTGCCTCCTGGACCCCCGGGCTGCCCGGGCAGGGGGCCTCTTTGGGCATGACGCAGTGCCCATTCTGGGGTACCGGAGACACGGACAGCGGGTACATTTCCTCCGGCAGGTGGTGGTTGCTATCAGGTAGCTGAGAGAAGCTCTGGAGGAGGTCCTTGTTGGCGGAACGAGGGTGGTTTGGCTCGGAAGGGGACCGGCTTGGAGTTGGGTTGTGGGGGGAGCGGGAGCGGGAACTGTGACGCAGTTCTATAGTTGGTGCGTGATGGGGGAGGGGTTCCGTACCACGTGGTGCCCGTCGTACCGTCTCTGAAAGACGAGAAGATATTTGAGGCTCAGTTAGGACTTTAGTTGATGGTATTTTATAAAAACTGCATGCCGTCCGGCGTCTCCCTCCATCTGTTAGCACTCGTATGTAATATGGATCAGCCTCAGCTACTACCACGCCAAATCTGAACTCTGTACCTGTCAAACTGATAAAGTTGTAGCCATTTGTTGTTGGCTAATGTCAATCAGCTGTGGCAGTCATCTTGAATTAGGTTGACTAAAAGTTGTCGATGTTCTTCCAGTGATTCTTTTTTCTGTTTTATTAAAATCTGTCCTCTAGTTTGACATGTCTTACAACAGACACATAAACAGACCTACCAGGTGTGGTAGTAGTTGTAGTACTGGTGGTGGTAATGGGGGGTAGTGGTAGAGACAGTATTAGTAGTAGTGGTGGTGGGGTGCTTGTAAATATAGTAAATAATGAATTAATTTATTTTAAAAGTCTAAAACTAAATAAATGCCAACTCCAGTCACCATTAAACTTAAAAATGTACCAACTTATAATAGTTTGTCTTATTGCCATGAATTTAAACCTACTTTAATTCTTATTAGTCTTTTAAATGTGTCAAGTTTCAGCTGAAATAAAACGGGCGTATGAAAGCAGTAAATGATAATTGTAGATTTTGTTTAGATTTAAATGATCCCACTGTCAAACGTCTCCACCGTGAACCCACCAGTAGGTGTCGCTCTGACCCCACGGTGAGGCCGAGCTGCACAGCTTCAGCTGTTTTGTCTCTTTAAACCAAATTAAGCTCCTGAACTACCAACGAGAGTTCTTTAACATTTATCACTGCAGCTTGAGGTGTGGACGATCTTCTGCCGACTCCGAAACAGAAACTCCAAGGGCTCATTAATCGCTGCTCAGTCATGGAGCCAATGTTGGACACACAAAGATCCTCGGAGAACAACCTGATCTCCAACAAGAACATGGCTCCTTCTGCAGAGACGGAAGGATCTGATGATGGAACATCTACAAGTAGTATGAAGGCAAACGGTTTGAACATTAATGCACTGGAGACGCTCCAAACACGAGGATGCTCGGATGAGACTAAAAATATCACTTTGGAATCTAAGAGAACGGCGTCCACACAGTGAAGCACGGTGGTGGCAGCATCATGCTTCACCTCCAGAGGTCCACGACCTGGACCTCACACTGGTCTGTTGACATCTGGACAAAGATCTGACTGCATGGACTCAAGAACAACTAGACTGAAAATGAGGCCAACTCCAACGGAGGAAACCGTTCTACTTTAACACGTATTTGGTAAAACCAGCTCCACCAGTCTGTTCATAACTTTCATGTCAGATTTGTCATGCAACCAGAGGGCGGGAGGGGTCGGGTCTGGTGGCCTCAGGATTTCATCTTTGCTGTTTGCAGATGATGTGGTCCTGTCAGAATGTTCATCTCTCCCCAGAGCGGTTCAGAGCCGAGCGTGAAGCAGATGAGGATCAGAACCTCCAGATCTGTTGGAGGACGGACTGTCCTGGTTGGAAGTGAGGTGCTGCCTCCAGAACAAGCCGGATGAGATGAATGAGATGGATGGGATGAGATTAGATAAATGGGATGGATAGGATGGATGGATGAGATGAATGGGATGGATGGGATGGATGAGATGAATGGGATGGATGAGATGAATGGGATGGAT